ATAATGATAATAATGATAATAATGATCATAATGATAATAATGATAATAATGATCATAATGATAATAATGATAACAATGATAATAATGATAATAATGATCATAATGATCATAATGATCATAATGATAATAATGATCATAATGATAATAATGATCATAATGATCATAATGATCATAATGATAATAATGATAATAATGATAATAATGATAATAATGATCATAATGATCATAATGATAATAATGATCATAATGATAATAATGATCATAATGATAATAATGATAATAATGATAATAATGATCATAATGATAATAATGATCATAATGATCATAATGATCATAATGATAATAATGATCATAATGATAATAATGCTAATAATGATAATAATGATCATAATGATCATAATGATAATAATGATCATAATGATCATAATGATCATAATGATCATAATGATCATAATGATAATAATGATCATAATGATCATAATGATAATAATGATCATAATGATCATAATGATCATAATGATCATAATGATCATAATGATCATAATGATCATAATGATAATAATGATGATAATGATCATAATGATAATGATAATAATGATCATAATGATCATAATGATCATAATGATCATAATGACCATAATGATAATAATGATCATAATGATAATAATGACCATAATGATCATAATGACCATAATGATAATAATGATAACAATGATCATAATGATCATAATGATAATAATGATAATAATGATCATAATGATCATAATGATCATAATGATAATAATGATCATAATGATCATAATGATCATAATGATAATAATGATCATAATGATCATAATGATCATAATGATCATAATGATAATAATGATCATAATGATCATAATGATCATAATGATAATAATGATCATAATGATCATAATGGTAATAATGATCATTATGATCATTATGATCATTATGATCATAATGATCATAATGATAATGATAATAATGATCATAATGATAATTATAATAATGATAATAATGATAATAATGATCATAATGATCATAATGATCATAATGATCATAATGATCATAATGATAATAATGTTAATAATGATAATAATGGTAATAATGATCATAATGATGATAATGATAATAATGATCATAATGATAATAATGATCATAATGATAATAATGATGATAATGATAATAATGATGATAATGATAATAATGATAATAATGATCATAATGATAATAATGATCATAATGATCATAATGATCATAATGATAATCATGATCATAATGATCATAATGATAATAATGATAATAATGATAATAATGATAATAATGATCATAATGATAATAATGATCATAATGATCATAATGATCATAATGATCATAATGATAATAATGATAATAATGATAATAATGATCATAATGATAATAATGATCATAATGATCATAATGATAATAATGATCATAATGATCATAATGATCATGATGATCATAATGATAATAATGATAATAATGATAATACTGATCATAATGATAATAATGATAATAATGATAATAATGATCATGATGATAATAATGATCATAATGATCATAATGATAATAATGATCATAATGATCATAATGATCATAATGATCATAATGATCATAATGATCATAATGATGATAATGATCATAATGATGATAATGATCATAATGATCATAATGATCATAATGACCATAATGATCATAATGATAATAATGATCATAATGATAATAATGATAATAATGATAATGATAATGAATATATTTAATTATAGTAGCTATCAGCAGTGTTTGAATTCAATGAATAGGCCGCGACTATACAGTCTCTTCGAGCCTAGAGGGAAAAAAATATGTATGTATACGTATATGTACATATTCATTCATCCCATCATATCCGTTATATTCTTTTTTGCCAGGCCTGAGACGGCCGCACCGAGGCAGCTCTGGAAGACCTGGGGGACCAAACTCACCTCGTTGGCCCTGGATCTTGGGATGTTGCTTGGGCAGGCGGAAGTCGTGACATCAGTGCCGGGATCGTGGGATGACTTCAGTGATTGATCCACATAGCAGAAAACTGAGGTCTAGACAGAAGTTTGGCTGATGAAGCCTAGACATGCTGATTCAAGAGTCACAGAAAATTTGTTGGGCCACACCTAGTCTGGACAAAGTGAATTTCTGTGTCTCCGAGACAAAATCCAGCAGGACGATGGGGCAGCGGCAGCGATGGTCAAGAAAGGTGCCGTGTTCTCGGTCTGGGAAGGGGGGGAAGGTGCGCGAGGGATGGGTTGATGAATGCAATTTGGCCGCAGTGTTTCTGGGCGGGCGGCTTTCCGTGCCAGTTTTGGGGTATCTACTTTCTTCGCTGTGGCCATGATGCGCTGGAATGTATTTTGCAGCATCGCTGGAGATTCGGTCTCTGGCTTCTAAACCAGTGCTGTTTGAATGTCGTGCGAAATCCAGGGGGTCCTCTTTTTGAAGCCTTGTCCTCTGGAAACAGTATACCGTATACCGAAAATTCTTCAGGAGCTTATGGCATTCTAGGAAAACGAAAAACTCCAATTCTTCAATATGAGCCCAAAACTGCTATTTTCATGTGGAGCATGTGAATAAAACAACAAACTGGGAGCTACTTGTTTTTCAGAGAAACCTCTATTATTCATGGCTACATCATTTCCAACGTGGCATTTTCAATGGTGCATGTTGAGTTGAACTGGAGGGAACCGGATGAATCCCGCAAAATCTTCACGGCAGGTAGCAAGGGAACACCTCCAACTAGGAGCAAAAAAGCAAAGGCAAAGGCACGGCATGGAAGCTGCGGCCCTGGGTTACTGGCATCTGCATGGTTTCAAGGGGATGATTCATCGTTGGTTTCCCCTTTCAGGCCCAAATCATTTGCAGCGGTGCAGTCAACTGGTAGATTTTCGGAGACCTCCATCGGCCTTGAGGCAATCAACAAATGGCAATTGTCTCTACTAGTGTGTGAAGATTGAGAAGAGACAATGCCAGAAGTGATGAAAAGGGCGGTAATCAAGGTTTGAAATTGGACATACATTTCAATCCAGCAGATTAAGCGTTCAATTTGGGCCGACAGCAGCATCTATGGTCGATTAACTCGGGCAATGTCGTCATTGGACTTACACCACCTTTGAAAAGGCTATGGACACGACCCTTACCCAATCGCTTAACAGCAAGGGGGCATACAATATCATCCCATTGAGGTCTCTGCCAAGAGATAGTCCATGTCCAACATATCTCAAACATATTCCAAAGACCGAAAAAGTATGAAAAACTCATGTTTTCAGACCTAGACCTTCTTGAAATGCTGCAAGTGGGAGGTTCACGAACGAATTTGGGTCCTACAAAATTGGAAATACCATCAAATTGGCCATCAAAAAATGGTGAAGATGATGTTCTTAACCTTGGGACGGGATGGACAGTGACAAACCCACATCCCCACATGGGTATGAGTCAAAAGGATTTAAGCCTTGCACATGGATGTTTTAAGCTGCTGAAAAAAGCAAAGCCTTTGTGCCCCCACGTGACTTGTATCCGCCAGGGACATGGAACTATATCCGGGCACCATATCCGTCTGTATTATAGGTGCGCGTGTCTAGGATATTATAGCCATTCAATGAGGAACATTCAAAAATTGGAGTCTGGGGGTTTCCTAAGGGCTTTCCCATACTTCAACCATGACCGCTTGGATGATAGCGAGCTTGAAGTCATGTTCAGAAACCTTCAGATGGAGCAGTACTCAAGATAATATATAAAGGCATGTCAATGTACAATACATATATACATATATAATCATATATATATATAAACATGATATTTGTGTCATGGAATCAACAGCCACCCTCCCCACGTCTGTCGCTAGGAAAAGCCCAAAGTCAAGCAGCCCAAGGCTGTCGCCGTCAGCGAGGAGCCCTCGATCCGTGGCTTGGCAGGGCCGCACCCAGGCCACAGAAGTAGCCACCATGACTCAGACTCTAGAGATAGTTACTATGGTTAGTATGTCTATGGTTAGATATACTTAGTACACTTATCTATATATCTATCTATCTATTTATTTGTTTATTTTTCTATTCATTTTTCTATCTATCTATCTATATATCTGTCTGTCTGTCTATCTATCTATCTATCTATCCATCCATCCATCTGTCTATCTCTCTCTCTATCTATCTATCTATCTAACTGTCTGTCTGTCTGTCTATCTACCTATCTGTCTATCTATCCATCTGTCTGTCTGTTTGTCTATCTATCTGTCTATCTATCTATCTATCTGTCTATCTATCTATCCATCTGTCCGTCTGTTCTCTGTCCGTCTGTCCGTCTGTCCGTCTGTCCGTCTGTCCGTCTGTCCGTCTGTCCGTCTGTCCGTCTGTCCGTCTGTCCGTCTGTCCGTCTATCCGTCTATCCGTCTATCTATCTATCTATCTATCTATCTATCTATGGTTAGTACTGTACTAAAATTAGTACTATGGTGATTGTACCCCACATCTATAGTTAGTATATCGGTAGTTAGTATATCTTAGATAGTAGTACCAAAAGAGATACGTATCCCTACTACAGTGGTTTGGAGGGTCACGGCTTAGGAGGGTTGAAACTTAAGACGCAACGGAACACGCATGCCGCCACGCTCAGTTGCTGTGCTTCAAGTTTCTAACCATAGATACAGATATAGGCCCAAGTTCATGACTTTCTATGCGTTTTCTTCGTTTCTATAGACGTGTTTCAGTGCAACCCAGACTTGACTCTTTTCTATCAACCATGAAATAATTAAGCATGAGGAAATCTATACACAGGTACCCAATAAGTGAACCAGATAGAACCAGCAATAGCAATAATGATAGTTTTTTGACAGTAAGGTGAGGAGTTGCAATATTGATACCACCATGAAGCGGCAGAATGTCAAATGGGTCTCTAATGGGTTACTACCTTTTAAACCCTTTGGCTTTACCATAATGTTCTGCTCAAAGTCGATATTATTTTTTCCTTTTCTGGACAAACCTAAAAGTTGGATTTGAATCTCGATTGTGGGACCCAAAACACGGGATAAATTTTGCATGATCCAATCAAATACTGCAAACTTGGGATTCTTGTCAAGATGGTGGTTTCAGATCCTAAAAATTGCCAAATGTCTACAGATCCAAGCACCTCAAGTGCGAACACATCAACGAAAATTACGCTGGAAAATCCTTTTTTCAATTGAAGTCAACTTGAGGAGTATAGTGCCGAGCAACCTGGGTAAACCTTGGTCGAGTAGGCTACGACCATATCTTGTACAGTAAGGCCTGACCCAAAGGTAAAAAGGTACAGCATCCCCTGCTGTGCGGGGTTAAAAAAACAGGCTCGGGGATCAAGAGAAACAGGTTGCAGGGTTAGACAAGTTAGACAAGGGTGAGAGGTTCAAAAAGGGGTCCTTTGAGTAGGTTAATCTTATTCCTTCTTTATCTATATAAAACGGGGTTATTGCTATTATCATCATTTATGATTATCATTTATCATTATTGGTATATATATATATATATACATCGAATATAAACATACGTCTTATAAGATGTATACATCCAATTTTCTATGTACTATCCAGCTTAAAACCACCAGCTTGTTCTGCCCAGGTCACTTCGATGCTTCCCAAAGCCTTGGCTCCACCGCGGACGCCGTGTCCACGGCGTCACCGGCCACAGCACCAGTGCAGGTACCGGCGCCGTCGTTTCGCGCCGTTTGGGGTGGACATGTCTGAGTTCTTTTGGGTCATTTTTCAAGATATGGATTATATTTTTGATTATTTCTTGATGATTAACAGTCGTGCATTGTTCGTGCGCCTGGATTTTTATGCATGTCAGCAACGAAGAAGAGTATAAACGGTATATGGTCAATTTAGGAATTGATCATGACCTTTAGAACATGTTTTTTCCCACAAATCATCCCTGAAATTGTTGACATTTTCCTGCAGGCCCCACCTGCTGCCTCACAGCCGCCGCGCTTTGGATATGGGGATCCAACCCATGGGAATGTCATGGGAATATGATGGCTATGGCTATGGGAACACATGGGACTATGAAGGGATATGGAGAAAAAGAACTTTGACTATCCCTTCATAGTTCAAAGTGTAACCATCCATTGTTGGACCATCCATTGTAAGGTGACCTCCCAAGAACTTCAACGATGGTTACGATGGTTCAGTTTCGAAGATTCAACACGCGGTGGTCAAGATTCGCCACCATAAACCGAAAAAATGGTGAATGTGCAGTGATCCCATCGACCCCGGATCCAACGGACCAGGGTTTCTAAGGATCCAAAATTCGGAGCAACTTGGATTCCCATCCATTTCTGGTCATTGGGAAGGTGCTTTTGGCACACTCACACTGGTTACTTTTCCAGAATTGTTTGAAGGGAATTGACTTTGCAGGGGACCACCATTTTAATGATGAAAATGAGGGCTTCCTGTAGCTTTCCCCTAAAAGCAAGCTAAGTATGTAACTTCTCAATTTTTGAGACTTTGAACGAGGACATGATCCAAAGAAAACGATCACTTGGATGAGGATTTTCTGTGGGTGTTGGTCAACACTGGAGTATTGAATATGGTGTATGAAACTATGGTCATATCGAAGTCTTCAACCCTTCAGTATTTAAGGGCTAAGAAACCCACCAGAATGTGATGTCATCATCCACATCATGTGGGGAACATGGGGGGGCATACACTCTGGTAATTAACCTGGCAATGAACAATCCCGTCCCTCATTTGCACACGAATTTCCCATACGACCAGGGTTTTCTAGTTCTGATTTTTGATTACCGGGGAGTATATATCCAGTTCAATTCCCCGTTTGGTTAAACCATCATTTTTGGTGGTTAAACCGTTAGACTGAAAGAGCTTTTGACTATTTTTTGAGTCACCATTTCTGATCATCGAATCACAATGTTCGATGATTCAATCACGTTTTTTGAACATTTTGATGGTTGACTCACCATTTTTGGTGTTTTGCCAACCTAAATCAAGCCCCGTTTTGAGGGCCATGAAACCGCAGGCCAGGTTGAGCCACTGTTTTTGAATATAGGAAAGTCCATGTTGTGCTTGTCTTTCGGTTCTCTCGGACTCAGGCCTACTGCAGAGGCAGCGGCTGCGCCGGCCGAAAGCGCAGCGCCGGTTGGACCTGCCGAGACAGGTGCCAGCGCTGCTTCCGCTGCTGCGACGCCCGCGGCACCACAGTTCTTTGGCGTTGTTTGACATGGGCCAATTGAACCATTAAAATCATTAAAACTACCATGGTCGGTTGATTGGTGTTTTTTTCGACGGTCATACATGGTCACACTACCCAATTCATCGGGGCTTATGATAAGCCATAGTACGGATACCGTTTTCAACCAACCAGTATGGATGGGGAATTTTTCATGGCTCAATTGGGAGCGTCATAGGGATACAGTTGAATAAGTTGAATATTTATCACCAACAACATGATAGAGTATGATACCAGTAGTGCCCGGCCTGGCCGTGCCAGGGCGGAAGTTTCGAAAATAGGACATGGCTGTAGGAAATGAATGGCCTATAGGAAAGTTTTTGCGATGCAGAAGCATTGAAGTGTTGAAGTCGTGAGGTGCATCAACGAATGAGCAAATGGTTGTTGAGATGCCAATGAAATGACATGAAAGAATCCGCGCACAAATGAGTGAATGAACCAGTGAACCAATGAATCCAAGAACCAATGAATCAATGAATCGGTCAGTCAATGAATCAGTGAGTCAATGAAGCAAGGAAGCAATGACTCAATGAATCAAGCAAGCAGTGAACCAATGAGTCGATGAATCAGTGAATCAGCAACTCAATGAATCAATGAACCAATGGTTCAACGATTCAGTCAGTGAGTCAATGAATCAATGAATCACTGAACCAATGAACCAATGAATCAATGAATGAAGAAATTGGGCCGCCTTCATGTTCCAAAAGTGCTCCGATCCCTTCAGTTTTTTGAGATTTTTATGTGAAATCGAGCTCTCGCTACAGTCTCGTGCACATTTTGCCAGCTTCATTGTCTAACAGTGCTCCGGTCCCTTCACATGTTGCTCTCGCTACAGTCTGGTGCACATTTTGCCGACCTCCTCTTCCAAAAGTGCTCCGAACGTCACCGTTTTTAATTACTTTTATGTGCAAACCGGGCTCTGCCGCAGTCCTGTGCACACTTTGCCGACCTCATCTTCCAAAAGTAGAAATCGAGCTTTCGCTACAGTCCTATGCACTTTTTGTCGACAACTTGCAACCCCGAAAAAAGTGACCGACCACGGAAACATTTTTAACCGAAAAAACACAATGTTCCGCACCCAAGAGTGTTCCACCCTTGAATTCATGCGTTCCCGAGCTGTCACTCTTTCCAACTCCTGGATGATAGGTGGTTGACATGATGAGAGATGAACATGATGACAAGGCAGCCCCTGGACATTCATCCGAAATTCGATAGTTTTCGAATTCAATTTCCTTTGATGAATTGATATGGGTTTAACCAATGGGACAAAATTGTAAATCAGGCAATAATATAATGTGTGTGCGCGTGTCTGGGCCAGGATTTGTCAGCCCATGTCACGAAGTTAGATGTGCTAGCTGAAGTTGCTCTTGCTTTAGCAAGGAATAGGCAGGCACCAGGACCATTGGAAACCCTGAAGCTTTCCAGTTTTATCCCCCCCCTCCCCCCCCTGGCAGGCCCAGGTTCGATCCCCCCCTGGTCCCCCCCGAGCCCCTCCGAGAGGAGATTTCCGGCTGGTAGAGGGTCATCATCCTCATCCTCATCCTCATTTTCATTTTCATTTTCAACTTCATCCTCACCCTCCTCATCCTCATCCTCATCATCCTCATCATCCTCCTCATCCTTCTCATCCTCCTCATCCTCCTCATCCTCCTCATCCTCCTCATCCTCCTCATCGTCCTCATCCTCCTCATCCTCCTCATCCTCCCCATCCTCCTCATCCTCCTCATCCTCATCCTCATCCTCATCCTCATCCTCATCATCCTCCTCCTCCTCCTCATCCTCATCCTCATCCTCATCATCCTCTTCGTCCTCCTCATCGTTGATCGGCATCCTCATCCCCTAGTCCCGCTGGGCCATTGGTTTCCTGCAGGTATAGGGCTCCTCTTCAGTATTTCATCTTCAGGACGTCATGTTCAGTAAACCAACCAACAACTCTATAAAATCATCATCGGAAACTTGCCGGCTTCCAAATGATCATCATTATCTTCCTCCTCAGCATCATCATCACGATCATCATCGTCGTCGTCGTCGTCGTCATCATCATCATCATCATCAATATCAATAAAGTCCTCATCCTCATCCTCCATCCCCATCCCCATCCTCATCCTCATCCTCCTCCTCCTCATCATCGTCCTCCTCCTCACATCATCATCATCATCATCATCATCATCATCATCATCATCATCATCATCATCATCACCATCATCATAATCCCCATCATTCGCACCATCCACATCATCATCATCATCAACAACATCAGCATCATCATCATCATCATCATCAGCCTCATCATCATCATACATTTGTTGCATTGTGTCGAACATCTGTATGCAGCTTCGGGCTTCCATGTGTTTTTTTTAATATATTGTGTTTCTTTTGCTTACAATACTTGGCGAGAGACGATTACTGCACACTAACTCGAAAAGGGAGCTTGCAGGCTTCATTCAAAAAGGGACAGCCATGTCGAAAGCAAGTTGGCACACAACTTTGCACGCAAGCGGGCGCATGATGGCGCATGGCATGAAGTCTGTGAAACTCTTTGGTTACTTTATATACTCGCCGCAGCGTTCGTTGCTCTAGCTTTCTGTTCTGTGCTGCTTCTTTCTTTTTTGGCGTCTCTCCGTTTGTAGCCGCTGCCTCAGCCGTTGTTGTTCGATGTTGCGCTTTGCAGCGGTTGCTTGCGCCCTTTGTTCCTTCTATAGTTGCTCGCGCTTTGAGGTTGAGATTGGCCGCAAGACTCTGAGCATGTTGTCGTCGCTGTAGCGCCGCATGTCGTCACGCATGGCTTCCTTGTGCTCTGCGCACCTTCGCCCGTCTCCGCTCAGGTGTTTTACCTCGAAAACTTCTCTGGCTACTGCGAGGCAAGGCTTGTTCTTGTGACGCTTGTCACTGAACCTTCCCTCTGGTCTCTGTCCCTGTGCCAGGCTTGCTGAGAATGGCATCCAGAAGTGGGATACGATCCCACGTATAGAGGTGACAACGATGTGTACCTCTGTCCGCGCCTTGGTCTTGCATCTCGTCCTCCGGTGGTTGTTTCCTGCTGCTTCCCTTCAGGCATCTCCTGTGCTTTGCACGCCAACTTGCCTGTTGTTGGGCAGGGGGGCGCCGTGTTCGCGCCTTAGTTTGGACCAGCTGCTGGCCCGACCGCGTCGTTTTGGTTGACGTGGATCTTCGTCACGCGCTCTGCCACCGGAGGCTGACCGATGAGATGGATGAGGCCGACGACCTCGAGTCCGTCCTCACCTCCGCCGACGCCTTAGTGAAGTGCACCCAAAAACGAAACAGGAAAGATGAGAAAGAGAGAAAGAAACATCTGTGCAACTCATGTGCGGCAATTGCCCCGTCTTGGTTTCTTGCCCCCAAAGTATTGCAATTCGGAACAGAGGCGTCGCTCAGCTCCGTTGACACGGAAGACACGGAGGTGCTGGGCGAACCATGCCCGGCGCGGGCCTTAATCCCTGCGGCGCGAACGCGTCGCTGCTTTCCTATATGACACTTTCTCGCCGCCAGTCGGCCTGCGCTTGCAGGAGGATCTCATCCCCCACGCGCCTGCGTGGATGGCAGAGGCAAGGGGGACGGTGTTGCGCGTCTTGCCTAACATATACAACGTTTTTGTTACCTTGATGTGACTTGCCGCGGCTGCCGGCTGATCACTCCTGCAAGATCCTCCGGGGCATGGACAACCCGCTGGCTTTTCTGGAGCTCAGCGACGGCACGCGTTGGCAGCTAAGCAGCCGCATATAACTTCGTTCGACTGCGCGTGTTTATTACGCCGGTCTCTTGGCCACTGCTTTCAGGCCACTTCGACCCTGTCACCCTGAAACCCTGGTGGTCGGTGATGCTGCCAGGGGGGTACTGGGTTTGGGAGGATGAGTTCCTCTAGATAGATGGTCACATACTACGATTGATATTTCAATGGCAAACACAGAGATTAAACGGTTCCGTACGGATTACGATTCATTCTTTGTGTCGGTAGGCTCCATGCGTATCTTATATATATAAATGTATGCATGTACGAATGTATGTATGTATGTATGTATGTAGGTATGTATGTATGTATGTATGCATGTATGCATGTATGCATGTATGCAGGTATGTATGTATGTATGTAATGTAATGTAATGTAATGTAATGTAATGTAATGTAATGTAATGTAATGTATGTATGTATGTATGTATGTATGTATGTATGTGTGTGTGTATGTAAATATGTATGTATGCATGTATGTAGGTATGTATGTATGTATGTATGTATGTATGTATGTATGTATGTATGTATGTATGTATGTATGTTATATATGTGTGTATGTATGTATGTAATGTAATGTAATGTAATTTAATGTAATGTAATGTAATGTAATGTAATGTAATGTATGTATGTGTATGTATGTATGTATGTATGTATGTATGTATGTATGTATGTATGTATGTGTGTGTATGTAAATATGTAAGTATGTATGTAGGTAGGTATGTATGTATGTATGTATGTAAGTAATGTATGTATGTATGTATGTATGTATGTATGTATGTATGTATGTATGTATGTATGTATGTATGTATGTATGTATGTATGTATGTATGCAGGTATGTATGTATGTATGGATGTATGTATGCATGTATGGATGTATGTATGTATGTATGCATGTATGTATGTATGTATGTATGTATGTATGTATGTATGTATGTATGTATGTATCTGTGCAATGTCATGTCATGTCATGTAATGTCATGTAATGTGACGTAATGTATTGTAATCTAATATAACATAATCTCGTGCAACGTAATCTCATGTAATGGAATGCAATGCAATGTAATGTAGTGTGCTGCAACGTAATGTAATGCAATGCAATGTACTGTAATGTAAAGTATGTGTGTATGTATGTATACGTATTGGACAATTTTACGCTGTAGTGAAAACAGAGGAACTCATTCTCCCGGTAGCGTGTGCTGGCAATTTTGGCGGGCGTCGAGTGCCACGGCAAAAAAAAAGCGCCGATTTCCCTGGATCCAAAGCCTCAACCCTGGAAATCTCAATGGGAGAGACAGCTGTGTGACCAGCATGCTTTGAAGTTGATACACCCAAAACGATGTAAAGCGATGCCTTATCGTAGCACCCGAAAAAAAGAAAAGCGGAAGGTGCTCATGACATCCCGGCCATGCAAATGCAAGAGACATTGTCTAGCCTGCTGTGACAACACTATGATGTTTGCTATGCCTCGAAGCCGTACTGCTCACAGTAGCTTCAAAAACCGCTGCCCTCCAGCCTCCAGCCTCAAGCCGCAATGGCACCCCCGCCTTTGCAAGCGATGGATGCGATCTGTACGGGCCTGGCGGACTTCCTCGGTGGGTGGGTGCTCATGCGGTTTCTTGCAACGCAGCGCGCAGCTGTCAAACACGCGTGGACCAGGCACGAGCAGTGAAGCAGCACGTGGTGCAGCTCAATCAGTTTCTGGCGCGATGGGAGATCGAGCGCTATGCCTGCCGGGATTTGACGCCGGTGAAGTCCGAGAGGCGAAGCTCGTGCCCTTCGATCTGCACCAGCCCAAGTTCCAAAGTGTGCTGTACGAAGGCTACTCTTTGAACCCTGCCCTGCCCAAATCTCAAAAGTTCCTGGCCTGGCTTGGCTGCTCGAAAAAGGCTTCGACAGGCTCGACCGGCGCGACGTGGGCCATGTCGTGCGCCAGATGAATGGGGCAGGCAGCGCCGCTCTAGAATGCCTTTGCAAGATGCGTCAGAATCATGACGCCAGCTACGCCCCGAGCGAAACGCGGCTTCCAGGGATTCGCCGACCTGCTTTGCTGTTCTGCGGTGCCAGCTACAAGAAGTTTTACTTCACCCTCTTCGCGCACGGACGACCTGCAACGTAGCCATGTACAGTGCTAGCTCAAGCTTATGAATCTTGCAAGCAGTGCAATTCGAAGCCTGCGACTGCTGCCGCCTAGGGCCTAGACAGAAATAAAAGATCGCGGAAAGATTTTGCAACCCTACAACAGCCCTGCTCATCATAATCACCATCCGCATTTGCATCTTCATTCTCATCCTCAGCATCCTCATCATCCTCATTATCCCCATCATCCTCATCATCGTCTTCGTCCTCTTCGTCCTCATTATCGTCGTCATCAGCTCATTCCTGTTACCATCACTTTCCTTCATCGTTCTGGTCAGCAACCTCATCAACATCAAAAAAATGGCACTGTTTGTGACTTGCAGCAACTCCAAAAAACCACGTGAGACCGTTGCCGCATTCCGACTTCACCTTGCTAATCCCCCTTTACGATTACCACCCTACCCCAGTCCTTCTAGCTTTCGTACCTCCCCCCTGGCCTCAAGTGATCTTGATTACAGACTCAGGAACTAGTGATTTTGGACAAAATCTAATCTATTTCGGGAGCGTTCGAAACTTTACTACCTGTGGTCGTCTTATTTCTTGTAAACCACCACTCTCGATTGTCCTGGTTGATGAAAACCAATGTGAAACAAACAAGATGAGCCAAGACTTCCCTCCAGTACCGGGGACAGGGGCGGTGGCCGAGACTTCTCCGATCCTCCACGGTGGGTAGACCAATATGTTCACACATGTGATAGGTGAACATCCCTGTATTGAGTATTGACAATCTATTTGACTGAGCTACGTTTTTTTGATGTCAGTTTTGTTGCAAAATGATACCGAAACCAAAGGGTATCATCAAATTACGTGGAGATAGGGTAAAGACTTAAAGGCCTCCAAGACTCCAATCTCTGTTCAGGTCCCATTCAAAACTCAAAGGGATCCACTCGGGTACCATGACATTCCGTGCCATGCAACATTGTTCAGATTGGCTTAACCACGGTACATTTGTGTATGACTCCGTAGGAAGAGCGAAGAGATCAATAATGGGTTCGGCTGGGGTCGCGGTTGTGTTCTGCAGCTGATCAGTCTTAAAGACAACTCCTGGAATTAGGCAGTGGAAGGGACGTTTGGCACCCTTTGCTTGCACGTATTATATACATGGGGGTAGTAAGCATTTTGACGACCATGGATACAATCCATTTATATGCTTGGAATAAACTGTGAAAACGGGGGGACCCAACAGCCAGGGTGACCAATCATGTTTTTCCTTGATGCCTCATTTCTCTATCCCCGGTGTTTCAAACCTTTTTTACCACTACTTGCTGGTTCATATCAGACGCCGTTTCCAGATGTTTCAATGGATCGATTTAAGGAACATCTGTATACAAGAAACATGGTTTCACTCGCCAAATTTACGAGGTTTCATAACCCAAAATCATACCCCAAATCATGGGAGCCCTCCATCAATCCCTGCCCCAGGGCCACAAGCACAGAGCCTCAAAGCACCCAGCCGCCGACTGCGGAGCTTCCTGCAGGACGGGCTCCGACCCACCATGAGAGAGGTAAAAAAGGATCATGTGAGTTTTCCATCATTGGGGGTACCCCCAAATCATCCATTTATAGATGGATTTTCCACTAGAAGCCATCCATTTCGGGGTGCCCCCATTGTAGGAAGCCTCCATGTGAGTTTTCCAGAGACTTTTTCAAAGACCACACCTCACCAGTGTTTCCGTCTTGGGGAGGACCCACACCGGCGGGCCCAGCTGGAGTGATGCTGGGACTAAAGAAGCCACACTGTGGATCGGTCGATTTCGCGTGCCATGGTAGTCCCACCATTTTGCTCCAAGTTTTCGCAGTTCGGCAAGAAGGTCAAAATTTTAAGCTTGGCAAACCGTACATAATTCGGGCTATT